TAAGTAAGACTGATTCCTGTGAACTATTTCCAAGGGTCTGGGACAGGCCTGCATTGCCCCCAGGGCTTGGGTCGCCAGGAGCAGCGGCCCTCGCGGAGCAGAGCGCTTGCTCTCTCCCAGTGTGTGGACGCTGAGCCTCTGAAGCACACCCGGCAGACAGGGCCTGGAGTTGTTAGGGGCTTCTGCCTCTGTGTCCTGGGTGGCCAGGCTCTGGTCCTGCTGGCCTCTAGTCCCTTAAACCACCATATCATGGCACATGTACAGAATTTCACTGATTCCCTACAGTTTGCCCCAGGAGGGACAGTTTATGTTCCCTGGCATTGAGGAGATCAACAGGGGAGAGTCACAATGGAGAAGAAAAAGGGAGTCTGGAAAAACACATCACAGCCATATAAACATGGTTCCCACAGGCTTGAAGCAAGGACACGCAGAACCCCATGTCTCTCAGCAAGAGCAAATCAATGGTGAAATGCGAAATGCTTGTGACCTTCAGGGGACATGTCTACTCTCTTCTATTTAATTCACTTGTTTACTTGGCAGTTAGATTGTATACACCAAATGCCCAAGCACTGGCTTTGCTCAGGGATACAGACACTCAAGGTGGACTTTTTTCCTAGAGAGTCAGTCTGGTGGGGATCACAAACTCATAAAAATAAGACTAACAAATACTTACACGGCACTTAGTGTGGGCCAGGCACTGTTCTGAGTGCTTTGCATGTATTAACTCATTTAATCCTCATAGCATCCCTGTCATGTAGGGACTATTATTATCACCATTTCACAGATGAGAAAACTGAGACACAGAGAGGTTAAGTGACATGTGCAAGGTCACACAGCCAGTAAGCAGTGGAGCTCAAGTTCTAGCTCCTGGGAACTTATTTACAGTGACTCTCTGATGCCTCTTGTAAATAAACAGAAGCAATAGAATGAAGTGAATGCTGTTAAACAGCATACAACAGATCACCTTCTATTATTTACAAAACAAAACAAAACAATTAGAGATGTTAAACTGAGACCCTTAGGACGGGTCTCCTGGACGCTTATGAGTTCTCACACTGCAAAATAAGCCCCTTGGCTTCTCTTGTTCTTCAGAGAGACAAAGAAGTTGGAAGAAACCAGTTCTATGCTGTCTGTGTGGACCTGAGAAGAGATCACTGGGTCTCTGGCAGAGGCAGAGGCAGGCTTCCATCTCCCCCACGCACATCAAGCTCGTGTCGAGTGGGAATGGATGGGCCGCTGCTTCTCTGGGGTGACGTGATGGACAAAACAATGCCCGGCTTCACCTCACTTAGTGGCTGCTGGAAAGGAGGGTCAGGACCTCCTTTGAGGGTCATTGGAGCAAAGTGATCAGGCTGCTCCCTTCTCACAAGGGTGAGGTTGTTTAAAAGGAGCTTTTGGCTGAAGGGCAGTAAGTCGGGAGGCCGACGACTTGAAGCCGAGCTGCTTTCTGAATGAGTGTCCAGGAGGGCCACGTGGCTCCCCTCACCACCTCACCACCATGGTGAGGGTATGTGTGTGGAAGCCTGCAGCCGGGGTGTGGCACACAGTAGGACCTGGGTCAGCCGTCTCCTCACAGCCAGAGCTTTCACATTCTTTGGATTGTGACCTACAGCAAGGAACATATTTAAATCATGTGTACATGTGTGTGTGACGGTGTTATTTTATTCACCTTGCTAGTCTTTCCCATTCTTTTTTTTAAAAAAAATGCTGATTAGATCCACTGAATTGATATCTTTAACTACTATTGTGCAGCACATCAAGCTGTGCAGTTGGAAAACAATAGTCTGGAGAAACAGCTAATGTGTGTAATTATGACACAGTGTATAAGTGCAGCCATGGGAGTGTGCCCAAAGGGAGTAGAGCCCTGGTGACATGTGGGGCCTGGAAAACCCTCTCCTCTGTTCCTTCTCTTATGCACTTTGGGTGCCTGCAGCACATCCCTTGGGTTTGTCTGCTGGCTCCAGTGCCCAGCACATCTCTTGCTGACTTCTCTGTCGCCCTCATCCCTGGCACAGTTCCTACACACAGGGCAGAACCCCCTGGTGACCTGAGCCAACCTCAACTGTGAGTCCAGAGACAGGGAGGGACAGATGAGCAGCTCGGCTCCTCTCAGTTCTAGAATTTTCCCATGTGTAGGGCAGAACCCTAAGCACAGGAAGGCTCCTGCATGGATGCCTGCACGTCATCAGGCTCTGCCTTTTTGTTTCTTTCAGGCTCAGCACCAGTAGGTCAAAAGTGAGAGCTGGGCAAGCAGGTCCCAGAGGCAAAGAGCTGGGCAGCAGTGGCAAGAAAGTGATGACTGTGGGCTGCTGACAAACAAAGAATATGTGAGCGCTGACTGACTCAACTCTTCTCCTGGGGGATGCACTGCCACACGGTCCCGGGGCCCAGGTCCTGAAAAGCAGACAGGGCACCAGCAGGGAGAGCTCCCTCCCACTGGCTTCCTTGGTAGCCAGTCATGAGCTGGACACTGACTGGAACAGGAAGCATTCTGCTAATGAATAATGCTGAAGAGAAGAATTAGTGACACATAAATATTTAATTTCCCAGAAAATGCCAAGCAGCACCCTGGAGCAGAGAAATGTTGTGGGTAAAAGCATGGCTTTGGAATAAGACTGACCTGGGGACAGATCCTGGTGTCCCATTTTCCGTGTGTGCTCCTTGGAAAACACCTGAGACCAGAGGAGAGCACCGCCTAGTCCTGGCCTTCTGGACGTTCACATTGACTGCTTAACCTCCGGGGCCTCAGCTTCTTCTAGGCAAAGCAGGGATAACGATAGAACCTAGCCGACAGGCTTGCTGAGAGGTTTAAGTGTGGGAATGGCTGTCTCTTTGGTGCACACTGACCACACGTTAGCTGTGTAACTTGCGTAGTGAGAAGCAACAGAAAACAGAATAAGGGAGACTGGTTGTGGCCAAGGCCTGTTAGACTCCACCTGCATCTTGCAGCCTCTTCCCTCCCTGGGCCTTGAAGCAGAGTAGAGGACATCTCCTGATGGCCTTATCCTCATGTCAAAGATGTAGATCTTTGGGAGATTGCAGCTAGTTCCTCAAAGCCCTACTGGCTGTTCCTCTTTACATTTATCCTAATTTTGTTCAAACTCTGAACACATGGGCCAGAGGTCACAGTCCTGGTTGAGTTCAGTGGAATGGCAGGAAGAGCGAACCCCTGAGGCCCACGTAGAAAGAGACACCGACGGCTCTCCCTTGGTGCTGGGTCAGGGAGGGCTCCGTGGCCACAAGCCCAGTGAGGCCCCTCGTAGCCCCTGCAGAGAGAGGAGATGCTCCTGGATATGGAGAGCAGAGGCCCGGCAAGGCAGCTGGGGGCTCAGGAATGGAGTCCGACAGCTGCTGGGAGAACACAGTTGCCTTTTTCTTAAATCCATTACTTGGAAACTTCTCTTTGAAATCAGTCTGGAGGGGGTCTGAGCAGTTTTTCATGAGCCTAAACACTGGGGATTCAAGTGGAGAGAAACACAGAGGTCTAGGGCTGGCCCAGGACAGCTCCAAACATCTTCCTAGGCAAAATCTGCTTTAAGACAGTGAAGTCTGATCACAGGAAGGAATGCAGAAAGCACTCTGCAGAGTTTAAAGGCTCATTTTAACATGTGGTATGTCACTATTCATGAAAGTGATGGAAAATACAAGCGGACAGTCCTCCCACATAGAGGTCCTATATTGGCCTCCACAAAGGCATAGCCATTAGCATATTAAAGGCACTGTGAAGTCTGGCAGGAAAGAAGCATTTTAATTCGTTGTTTTACCAAGTGTTTTCCAAACATAACTGGTCACAGGACCCTCTTTCTCTGCAACATTGCTGGCAAAGTGACAGTCTTCTTGTCTACACCATACCTCTTGGCAAATGAGAAACCTGGGCGCTAGCAGAGTGCAGGTGGGTTTGAGCTTCCACTCAGGCCTTGGCCAGCCCATGAATGCAGCTACTACTTCCCTTCCTGGGCCTGTCGAGCCATCTTCAGACCTTATTGACCAGGGCCAGAAAGTCCACACTTCTAGCCACCTTGCAGGGCTCCTGGACACCCCTGAGCTTACACTCAACACAGGAGCCCTGAACATGTTTGAGAAGATGATCTGTGCTGCATTACTCCAAAAAAACAAAAAAAAAAAACAAAAAAAAAAGAGGGAAAATACACCAGCCATGCATTGCAACAGACTCTGACGATAATTGGGACAAGCAGGAAGGAGACCTGCTTGGTTTAGACTCTGATAGTTTGACTTCCATCCTCTGGCTTTTACAACAGACCAGTTTTCCTGGCATACACATTTACTGAGGTTTGAAAGGCGAGATCTTCCACATAGATTAATTCATGATTTCAAAAACACTTTGAAGCTGGCAAAATATTCTGTTATTTGCAAAAGTTATTACAACTGAAATCCTGGCATAGACTGGAAGGTCAGCCTGTAATCTTGTTTAGATCCTCTTAAATTTAGAAACTTTATATAGTGCATTAAAAATAGATCGCATTTGTGTACTTTGCCTCCTTTCATTCCCACAGCAAAGGCTGCTCAGTAATTCTGATCTACCCTTGATATTAGCCAGATAAATTGTTACCTGGGAGTCTGCTGGGCCAAAAAAAACCCCTCATTTTCAAATGGGTTTGGGGAGATATGACCAAGCAAGTTACTCATGATCCTACATAATAAGTTCTAGAATTCAGAGCAAGAGACTATCATTAAAACTTGTGAACAGTATACAGACTCATGTGAGGTGACAATGTGGGCCAGGAGGAGGAAAGTTTTCAGTAGCCCAGCCTGGAGGGCTTGTGTCCTTACATATTGGTCGGAATAGATCATGGTGCTTCGGTCAAAAGAGGCTGTGTGAGGCTGGAAAGTCAGGCTGCTTATCACCAGAAGTTAAATAAAGATTGCACCTTATTTCAGAAGAGCCAAAATATGGGACTCACTGGGGTTCATGGGGTGTCAACATTTTCATGCCCAGCAAATAGAACAAACCCAGGATTACCTCTTCATTGTTACTTTACCTTCATGAACATGCTGAATCCAGTTTTAAGGAGATCAGTGAGGCCTGAAGACATGTGTTCAATATCAACTGGATCTGGCCTCTCAGGATTAAAGATTTCCTCCACAACCTGCTTCAACAATGGCTTATAGGACGCCTGCAAAGGCAAAATATCGTGCTGTAAGTAAAAGGGTTTGTTTGGTTTGTCTGGAGGGAGGATCGCTTTATCTGCATCAAAGAGGCAAAACAAGTTTATTTTCATACTGAGCAATGCTACGATTCTGTGTTTGAAATGGTAATTATAACAACATTGGGTTTTTGGTAAATTTTCACCTCAGTACTCTAACACTAATTTTTGCTTCTCACGCTCCCTCCTACAAGCAAATATCTCTTACCAAAGCTGCCATCACAGTATGACTAGTTTTTCAATCTAGATTTAAAGTGACAATTTAATGTATGAATGGTACTGGAAAGCAAAAATTGTCATTTGAGACACACATAAAGATGGCCTCCAGTCTTTACTAAACAGTCTTAGAATTATGTTTTCCTCTGCTAGGAACTCAGATGCTGAATTTCAATGTAGGTTGCTATCCATGTGTACGCCAATCCCTCTGTCCTCTACAGAGCTCAGTTCCAAGGATGACTTGGCCAGAAAAAGAAGGCAAGGTGCCAAAAAGGAATCTGATGAACATCAGGGCTTAGAGAAGGCAGGCCACATAGCACTGTAAGAATTGCGGTAGAAATAAGTTGATATTATTTTGCAACAACCTCTAAACTTTGATAAACAGTGCTAAATCTATCCACATTTAGTAATCCTGGGAGGCAGCTGCCTCTGGCCACTGCACTTCCTGAGTGCACTCCCCCCAGCTCCTCCCTAGGTTGCTGGCCTGAGCTCCTCTGCCATTCTTCCCTCCCACCTGCAGGCCCACCTTGCCCGCAGGTGTCCCTGCTGCTGCGGTGAAGGAAGGAGTGTCTCCTCTCAGTGCACTCTCTGATGATTATTAGAGCCTCAGAAAGGCCAGGTTCTGACAGAGTGCTGGTGAGATGCCTTAAACTCTGTTTCTCTCTCTGCATTGGTCAAATCTGTACACTGCCTGCGGCAAGTGTCAAGGACATTTGGCTCATGGTCTTCATCGCTGGCTTCATCTTGCTTTTCTCACAGTCATTTTTGCTTTTGTTTCCCCTTTATTCAATTTTTTTACTTAAAATATCTTAAAAAATAAAGAAGGGTTTAAACCATCAAAGTCATAAACAACCATTTAGCTGGAATATAAGTGGTGCATTTACCAGGGTTAGAAGATAGGGAGAAATAGCAACTGTTCAGTTGAGGGGTATAACCCTCTTAAGTTTATTAATCAAACAGACCACTGCATGGCCAGGGATCTCTGAAAGGTAAAGCGGTGGACAGCACTTAACACTATTAAGACAGAGATTAAAAAAAAAAAAAGTCAACCTTTCTCAAAACAAAGCTATATCAAAATAGGTTTTCACAATTCACCATACAAAAATCCAGAGGTTTGCAAATACACTCTTTTGATGAGGCCGTGGGGAAACAGATACTCTCCTATGTTACTGATGGGAGTGTAAATTGTGACAATCCATGTGGATAGCAATTAGGTAGCACCTATCAATATTACAAATACACTTGACCTAGCAATTCCACTTCTGGGAATTTACCTTATAAACATGCTAATATATGCAAATAATACCCATAAAAGGTTGTTTATAGTTTGTAACAGCAGAAGATCGGAAACAACTGGAATGCCCATCAGTAGGGAGGTGTTTAATAAATGGAGTGCTTCCATAAGAAGAAATGCTATGCAAATGAAGAGAGAAACACTGCTGATCTGAGAAAAAGCCAGGTGCAGAATAAAGTGTGAGTGAAAGAATCTAAGGGAGAAATGCCATATGTTCAGCTGGCATTTGTGTAAAATGTGTTAACAGGGAATATGAAAGTTTTTATTTGCTGAAATATAGAAAAAATAAACTCTGATGTGAAGTACGGAGACTACCCTGAGCAGGGATCACGGTGTGGGGGACCCAACAGGGACAAAGGTGGGAGGCCGACTGTTCAATGTGTCATTTCTTAAAAAACACAGTTAAAACACCATGACAGACAGCAAGCAGGATCTTTTGTTTTTACTTGTTAAAATTAATAAATTACACGTGAAAGGAAGAGATAAGGCACACCAAAATGTTAATTAGGGTCATCTCTTGGGTCTGGAAGTAGGGGACATAATTTTGTTCTTTTTTCGTGTTTTCCAGAATTAACAGACACACTTCTAGAAACATAAAATAATCCAAGCAATATTGTCAGTGTTAAAAAAGAAAGGTCATGGAAAGGCCTGTGAATTCTGTAAGTCCTCTTCTCTGAGTAAATTGTCTTGAGACCTTTTCTATCATCTCAGCTGTCCCGGACATTTAATCTCTTAAACTTTAATGTCTTTGAACTTCCTTCCCCAAGGAGAAGCCCTTTGGCCAATACTCTGCACCTTATCAGCATTATCATCAAATGTTCATTGACTTCTTCTCTAGTAATAGAATCCAATTTTTAGTCAGGCACATTTATCAACTGGCTACAAGACTCCATTCTGCACTTCGTCGCTTGGGTATGGTCATGCATCCAAGTTCTGGACAGTGGGATGTAAGCAGAAAGGGACTTTCAGAAATCTCCTTTTTTAAAAGAGGAAGCTTATGCTTTCCTCCCCTTTCTCTGTTGTGCTGCCTGGAACCTGTAAGTGATGCCTGGATCTCCAGCAGCCATGGCGGAAGACAGGGCCATTCCTTAATGATGTCAGAGCTGGAAGAAGCCTTTTTTGACAATGACTGGCAGAGTTGCCATAACCAAGACATGGACAGGCTAAATCAGGACCTACTTTGCATGACAGTACTAAACCTAGTATGCTTAAGCCATTATTTTTTAGATCTCTGTTCCATGCAACTGAATAAAATTCTCACACAAAGCACAAAAGGAATATAAAGAAATAAAAGGCCATCCCATCCTTCAAGGAGCTTAAGGTTATTTGTTTTATTAGCCTATATGCAGTTACATAGAATAACTTTAAAGAAAATCACAGAGAAATACACATAGACTGTTAACGTTTTAGAGAGGAGCGAATATGCCTAACAATCTACAAAAAAACAAACAAAAAGGTGGTTGCTCTCCATAGGATGCACCTGTGAGAAGCAAGAATAAAGATCCTAACAAGAGACCAGACACAGGGAAAGATGGCTTGGCTCTGCAATCCAGCTAAAACACTATACTGACTTACTGACTACAAGGCCCAGTGAACCAGGTTGGGGGGATAGGACTGTTCTCAGGGCCCCATAAGGCCCAAGGTAGACTGGGGAGATGGGAAACAGGGAACATGGAGGGCTTAGAATCTCCCTCTCCGTTCTCCACTGTCAGGAGAAAATGCCCATTGAGCTGGGGCTCCCCTTGGGGTTGAGCAGACATTGGGAAGAGCTTCTCCCTTACCATCTTCATTCTTGGGCTTTTGTGATCATTGTATGTTACTGGGGAAGCTTGTAAATGTTTATTTTTATTTTTTAAAGATATGTAGGTAACATTTATTTATAGTGAGGAAAGAAACTGTCGTGTAAATACAGAAAAGTAACAGATAACAAACATATCACATAATCCCGAAAAATAACATCAAAGCTTTTATTAATTAACTATCTGACATACTTCTCTAATACTCATTTCTTACATTTCTTGGCTGTGTTCTCTTTGATTACCTTTTCACATGACAGTAATTTTGAACTATCATTTTCTGTAGAGAGATGTGATAGCTTCCGTACCCAGTTTTGTAATGCTGGCTGGCACTTCTGCAAATTGCACTTGTGTTTTGCCATCTAGATGTTAGACTCTGTCAATAGGAGGCACTAGAGGGAGTCTGGGAGCCAGGAAGCACGAGCAGGACCTTGCTGCTCCCAGTTAGTTTGCTGGTCACCCGAGCATCACCCCAACAATTGCCCCTTACCACTTGAAACTGTCCTCAGTACTTTTTAGTACTTTAAGTTACCTTTAAATTAATTACCTTTATTACTTAAATCAGCTTGAGCTATTTTCTTTTTTTCTATTTTTGTGTGTAACCCAAAGCACACTAAATGATGTAAGTACATTAATTTAGAGACATTGATAGGCTTTCCCACTTAAATATTATATAGAAAAAGGCCTCTGCATTCTTTATTAAAACAACTAAGCATAGAACAACTAAATAATATTGTCCATTCAAAGACAATGATTTGGGAAAGACTTTCTGAGGTACAAAACAGTATTTGCCTCTTGACTTCTTAGCAAACACACTTAGTTTTTCCAAACAATCAGCCACTAGTTTGGATTGTTTTGTGCCCGAATCATGTCACTGAATCTGACTGGGATGAACTGCTTTGGCAGTGGCTTCTTAGATGGGCAACCTCTGATTGTCTTGGAATTTTCTATTCAGCCAGAAGCTACCCACTTTTCATCAAAGGACCACGTAGAAGGTGGTGATGGGGAGGCCTCCCCTGGTACCTGGCCAAAGTTTTCCTCACATGTTAGAAAAGGCCAGAGGGGACATTAGTCATGTAGGTTGTCTCATCGTTAAGAGACTTAACCACAGTAATTTAATGTAATTGTCCTAATCAAACATCCTCTATCTGTTCACCTTGGGGTGGGGCGGGGGAGGAGATGGGAGCAGGAGAGGAATTCAGAACACAGACAAGTTCGTTCTTTCCTTTTCCTGTCGATCATGTATTTCTAACTTATACCACATCCAGTGTGTGTCGGCAGTAGGTCGTCTGTGCCATACATGATCATTCAGACATCCAGGTTCTTGCGATTGAGTGGGTCCACCCTTCCCTAGGGCACTGAAATCCCATACTGAACCATTGCATCTCATCAGCATATGATGAAAGAGAAGAGTATGGAGTTTTCAGAGAGTTCTTATGGGCTTAGCCTGAAAGTGATCTGTATCACTTCTACCCTTAGTTAATAGGCCAGAATTAGTCACAACCTTGCACTTACCTGCAAGGGCATCTGGAAAATATAGTTGAACTGTGCCCAGAAGGAAAAGGACATGGAGTTTAGGGAACACACAGCATTGTCTCTGCCACTGTGAAGTCACGCTGTACAGTCTGGATTGAAACTTTAGTATAATTATTTCCTTAACAGCTAGCAACTTGCATGTTGTAGGCAAAGGATTATTAAGCCCTTTTCTACTTCTGGTAAGAATTTGACCTTTGGTTAACTTTCTAGCTCTGTTTCCCTGGAAACCTGATAAGGGAAGAATGTCAAACTGTAGCCAGGCAAGATTGCTTGTGATAAAAATGACCCCCACTTAGTAAACTGCATTAGCCTGGGAGTTCTATAAATACTGGATAGAAAGCAAGAGTTTGGGCTTCTCCGAGTACGATGACTCCTGTATAACTGGGCATGTTCCTGGGAGGAAGGCTGGAAGCTATGCCTGTGGAGTTGTTCCAGGGAAACTGGCTGCTATAGGAGATGAGGTTTTAAGCCAGGGAACTCCTGCCCCCATCCCTCCCCTCACTGGAGTCCAGTTCCCTTACTTGTGACCTGTCATCTCAGGAGCAAACTGAGATAGCTCCTTGATAGCTGGGTGGATTGCTTCATGGATGGTTATAAGAATTTTATTCCAGAGAAGAAACATGCCTGCTTTTCCCGATGGCCAGCTATGCTGCGGCCCTGGGCAGACGGGGCAGTGGGGCTATGATCACAGAGCCAAGTTTCCCTTTATGCACTGAACACACAGTGTCCAGGGCCCAAACTTTTAGGGACCCATGAAAATGTATAAACTTATTTTAAAACAAAACAAAAAAATGTATTCTTAGGTCAGATAATATTTTGATATATAATACTGATATATCTGTCTCTACACCAATGCAATTGTGCAATGCAATTCTTAATAGTTTTTATTTTTATGAAGGAAGGAGACCATGAAGGCAAAAGAGCCTAGGGCCATGAAAATCATAATGTGACCCTCTCTGAGAGCCTGTGGGGCTAGCCTGAAGGTTTGGTGCTGCCCAATGAGATCTCTGATGAGTGTTACCCCTCATGAAATAGTTGAAGTTTCAAGAAAATTGAATTGATACCAGAAATTCTTTTTTTTTTCTTAAATGGTCAGTGTCTCAGAATGGTTAAAATTCAAAAATATCATATTTAATTAAAATATGAAAACTAAGATATTTGTGTCTATGTCTCTGGCTACTCTTTTATAGTAGAGAGAGTCAGTGATCAAGTCCAGAAGACTGTTCTGATTATCTACCTGATTCTTGCTCCTGAAGAAAACTATTGAGGGGAGCAGCAGTTTCTGATATCCACATGACAGAGATGATTTTAAGAAACCAGTCTAATGCCAACACCTTCTTGAAGTCGGTGCACCTTAAAGATGGCCTAGGATATCAATTTCCAAGGAAACCAGAATTGCCACCAACACATCTCCACCCATCGGCCCTGCGGACCTTGGCTCTGCTGGTTCGGGTGGGCACAGCCAGGGGTTCTCACTCCTGCCATGGAAGATGCCTCGCCCTTTCCTGCAAAGCTGGCTCTAAACAACAACTTCTCAGGAAAACTAGGCGTGTAGAGATGTTATTCATTTTGGTTCAATCTAAGACTGTACAGAAAAACGTCTGTTCAAAACAGCTCATGTTTTGACTAAAAATTTGACTAATTATTGCTTTCCCATGACTAATTTTTTTCCTCCTTTCATCTTCTTTAAAGGAAATGGTTTGCTCTAGAGATTAAGAAGTAGTTCATTTGTCTGTCTGTTCATCTATCTATCCATTCATCCATCCCTCCTTCAAACCAGAAGCAGATTACTTCTTAAAATTTTGACTATAGTCCCTTCAGCTTCCATAGGAGGAACTGAAAGCCCAAAGCCCCTGACTAACATGCTTGCACTCACACAGGTGGTTAGGGGTGGGCTACAGGCAAAGCAGGTTTCCTGGCCCCAAGTTTAGTCCTGTGTCATGTTGGTTGTTTCAGGAATGATGTTAGCATGTCTGAGGCGAGGTAGGAACCGAGCATAAAGCACTTGGAAAAGAACAGCCTGTGCTCAGGCTGGGGATTATTAACAAAGAAGCCGGGCCTGCAGACTGTTCAGAGAGCCATATTTCACCAGGCACAAGATGAATCAAGCCTCCCTGGGCCCTGCTGGTTCTAAATGCTTTCATTCAACGTGCCAGAGGGACAAAAGACAGTACATATCTGTGGGAAGTTTTCTCCAGCACAGCACAGCGCTGGCAGACTTCTGTCAAAGCAAGTCACGCAGGAGCCGTTGGATACTCCATGTGCACGGGTCCTGCAGCTTCTTGCCCTGAGACATCTGCCTGATCCTCTGTTGATGCTGCAGCAGAGGGACAGCAGCACATCAAGCCCTGTGGCATTTAGGAAGGAGGGTAAGCCTCCCATTAAACTGGAACCTTTGCAGTAAGAAATGAAAGCAAGATACTTGCTGCACTAGCAAATGCGGGGGCTTAGGCTTCCGGTCTACAGAGTCTATTAACAAACACAACCTTTCCAAACAAATGGGAGTCAGCAATAAACTCACACCATACACAGCAGCTGACAGGACAGGCAGCTTGAGGGTGAGTCTCTTTCTCTGCAGCCCATATCCTAGCAAAGGAAAAGATGAAATGCTACAAAAGTGGATGAAGAGAAGGCCCATTTTGTCTTTACTATAACTGTCATAGCAAATGCTTACATCATGCTATGTGTCAACTCCTGTCCAAAGAGTATGCATATGTATTAACTCACCTAACCTTTAGAGCATCTCAACGAGGGGCCTCTATTATTAGCTCCTTCTGACAGATGAGGAACTAGGCACAGAGAGGTGAAGTAATTGGCCTAAGGTCACACGGTTAACAGGGGGCAGAGCTGAACCCAAATGCTGCTAACCTCCATGCTAACCTTCCTCTCACTAGGGGGGAATTAAGAACTAATTCTAAGAATTAAGAACATAAGAAATGCCACATTGTGATTAAACTCACAGTCCAGGATCCATTCATCCATCCATCCATCCAACCACTTACCTACCCACCCTCCCACCAGGTGGCAAGACTGAGCTGGGCTCCCCAGATACCTTGGTGAGCAGACACAGATGCTGTCTCCAGCTCTGGTAGTGTGCTTTTCAAGTCAAGAGCTTCAATGGCAGCCACATGATCCCCACCATCCCCACTCTCATGCCTGTGGCAGAGGTACTGGTTCCCCTGGAGGGTTATGTGTGTGCTGATATTCTGGGCTTATTTCTGGAGACCCAGTCTGGGTCCCATTTCTGAAGTCCCATCCAGGTCCCAGCTCTTCCAGGGATTTTATATGTACTTAGTTCCTTGTATCAAATCATATTCTTCTTTAAACTATGAGAATGCATCTGGGCTGCAACTAACACACTTCCTTAGAGGGCTAGAGGATGAAGTACATAAGATGAGCCTCTAGTGCTAGCCAGGGAAACAGGAGTGGTTCTGAGAGCCAGCTAGGGTACATCAGAGCAGCAGAAAGGTGCCCTTGGAGGGAGGCTGGAGCTGGGAGGGGCTAAGATCCAGGGCAGAGAGCCCCAAGACTTCATCAGAGCTCAAACAGGAACCCAGGGCCAGACCAGGTCTAGTGCTCTCCCAGGAGTCCCAGGGAGCTCAGAAGATCTCAACTGGATTCTATGTAAAAACAGCAAGGAGCTAAATAGAAAGCACAAATTTTTCCTGGAGCCACAGAGCTGAGGACCAAATTGGAGAAGGGATGGGCACAAAGTTGCTCAGCCAAGGACTATCTTCACAAATAGAAACAGCTGGACTCTGATTCTAATCCAGATGTTTGTCCTTTTCTAATTACACAGTTTGTGTCCCAACAAATCCTCCAAAATATGATCAAGATTTATGTATTACATTCAAGATGCACCAGCAAATATTTATTAAGCATCCACTATGTGCAAGATACTACTCCAGGCACTGAAGATATGGCAATTAACAAATCAGATCAAAATCCCTGTCCTCACATGGCTTTCATGTGTGATTGAAAACTTCTTCAAGTTCAAAAATATTGAAAAATCCAAAGTTAAAAATTACCCATAGTCCCATCAAGAACTTTCTCTATAATATGTAAATATGGAGTGAGAAATCAGAGTTCCTTCTTATTCATCCAGTCCTACCCATCCCTCACAAGGTAACCATTATAAATTTTTCCTTAATTTTTAAAGACTTATTAAATATATATACCCATATACTTTTTTAATTTTATTCTTTTTTTGACAAAAATAGAATATTGCTCTACAAAGTGATCTACAACATGTGTTTTTTTCACCTAATAGATTGTGAACCTCTGTTTTAGTTTGGATTCCCCAAGAAGCAGAGGCTGAGACAAGGATTCAAATACAGTCCCTGCTAATCACATTTAGATCTGTTCCATTCATTTTAATGTTTGCACAGCATTTCACTATGTATCTGTATCATAATTTATTTAATCAGCTCAGGATATACACATACTCCCTGCCTTGCCTCACTTCCTACTCACTGGCCTTTAGGATTTTTGGTGAATGTGTGGGTGTTATTGACTAACTATAAGGGCAGCATATGCAGCAAGGGAAAGTTCATTTTCCAAAGACCATGGTTGCAGGACAGGGTTCTGAGACTTGGAGAAATGACAGTGTTGGCAGCAGGGAGATAAAATCTAGGAAACTTATTATTGTCTTTATCAGGCCTAAGATTTATAGCTAATATATGTTTATGTGAAGTTGGAAAAATTAGTCACCATGATGAAAAGACGTTATTAACTAAGTGGTTTATTTTCCCTTTGCCAGCTGTAGCAGCCACTTGTTTCTTGACATTCTTTGGTCTAAATTTCTTTATATATCACCAGTTCTATCATGTCTTCTAAAATTAGTCCATACCACCATATTTGGGATTGGTGATCTTTTAAATGACAAGATTACACGCAATTGATTAACTCAGTGATTTCATCTATATTTTATGGCACAGGTGTACTCAGATCATTGAACAAAGGATGAGAATTAAGGCATAAAGGATGGGAACTAAGTTGAGTGCCAGTTTTTAGAGACAGATGCCCATCAGCACCATCAATCACTATTT